TCCACTCTGCTGAACCCTATTCTCACTCACACTGGACAGCTATGTACCCCTGAACATCAACTGCGAGCATTGAGTCAAGTCACTCATGATTTATCCCCACAACAGCCAGATGAGACTGACACAGAACTGTGTGGCTCTATCTCCACCCAGTGGGGTCCACCTCAGAGCCCCAACCCTCACCTGAAGACAGTCAGCTGACTGCTAGCCCACACACAGAGACAGTTGACGACCCCTCCCAATTCTCATCTGGAGACAGTTGACTGACCCCCAACCCTCATCTGGAGACAACTGACTGGTCCCTAACCCTCACCTGAAGACAATCGACTGACCCCTCTCACCTGAAGACAGGTGGCTGACCCCCAACCCTTACCTGGAGACAGTTACTGACCCCTAACCCTCACCTGGTGTCAATTGACTGACTCTCCCAACCCTCACCTGGAGACAGTCAACTGACCCACTCCCCACAGTATCCCCTGCAGGCAGCCCTCCTGCTCTACTCATTTATGCCGACTGGCCGAGACCCCTCCTGAGGATGACATGACATCGTGTCCTTCAAAGCCTCTCCTCGTGAAGGGGTAACAGCCACAGTCTCAGGCCCACTTGTTGTCCTCCTGTGAGCCTGTGGCTCTCAGCTGAGCCCTTAATGGGACATGGTCTGGTCCAGGCTCAGTTCTGCCCTCCAACCTTCAGTGGGCACTGGGGGCACCCGGAGCACCTGTCTTGGCCTCTCTGCATGGACGTGCCAAGAGCACAGGGACTCACAAGGACCTGTGGATTAGCTAATTGATGGACTAAAATGAGCAGGACAAGCAATGTCTTAAGATGCTCTTTCCAGCCCTAGACTCAGCCTGTGCTCAGGAGTGCCTGGTTTTATCATAGACACACAAGGGTTTGGTGTTTCCACCTCAGAGACAGGCCTCCCACCGTATGGCATGCACCCAGGCCTCAGCCCTGCTGGCTGGGCTGCCTCCGTGGTGACTGAGCCTCTGTAGAGATTGGTCTGACTACTTGATGCTTACCGACTTCCCATAAAACCAAGATCTCCTCTGCTCTAACCTGTGAAGCTGTCAAGAAGCGAGCTTCCTGTTAATAGATTCCTATTACCTTGCAGACATGAGTGTTTCAAAGATTTACTCCATGGCATAGATGCAACGCTTAAATATATTTTATCACTTCAGAGTCATTTCACTTTAAATTTTTTGCTGGGGCACAGATATCAGACAAAGAGGCAGGCCTGGGGAAGTCTGGCATGCCCAGCCCCAAAGAAATCCCAGTTTCCCTGGAAACCACAACTCCGAAGGCTTGTTCACCTTTTGGGAAATTTCCGTGAGGTTTCCTGCCCAGGAGGCTGCAGGGAGTTCGGTGCCTGAGAGAGGATGAGAACATACCACCCAGAGGCAGCAGCTCCTTCCTGGCAGGGGTTGGACCCTGACCTGCGACGGCCCTTCCTATCCATTCTAGGTACGGCCTGACTGACACACACCCCTCAAGTGCACCGAGACCAAGAAGAATGTGGCCACCCCAGCACCATGTTCAGGCCTATCTGCTCACCAGGGCCTCCAAGGGCTCAGAGTAACTTCAAAACTTGTGGCCAAGGGAGGGGACCTCAGGGTGGCCTGTTTTTGACTCTCTGGAGTCACCCAGCACCATGCAGGGGAAGCACTGGGGCCCAGAGCACCCAAGGAACTCAAGTGAGACCCCGAGCCTCCAGACCCCACCTTCCCTGCTAGGGAATGGGAAATGAATCAGGGCCACCCGGCCCCTGGCCACAGGCCCAGGCAGGAACGTGAGCTCCGCCCCAACGGACAGTCCCTCCTGCTGCCAGATTTTCCATCTAGCTTATTTTAAACACAATTTCATCCAGGCCACGGAACACAGCTTGGACATTGGCACAACCAAGCAATCTGCACCCCCAAGCTCCCATCCCTGAGACCAAGTCCTCCATTTCAGTTTAAGCAGGACAACTCGAGTTTACTCAGACTTCTCAGCCTCAGTTTCCCCTTCTGTAAATACAGGGCTGCACCACCATCTGGCAGGTTCTGGTAAGAGCGGCACATGGTGGGAACACAGCATGGCCCTGGCCCCTCCTACCTTGACCCGTGTGGAGGCCTTGCCCAGGGGCGCTTCTCCATGGTGGGGCTGCTGCCCAGCAGCCCTGTGCACAGTGGGCAGGAGGGGGAACTGGCCTGGGGTTTGGGCCCATAGGCCCCATGGTGTTCCCTCTGCCCAGGAAGTTCCCCAGTGCCTGACACACTAGCCCAGGGTGGGTCTCCCACCCTGCTGGGAGGGGCTGGGAGGTGCCCATGCCTCAAGCCTCCAGGAGCAGGTCTCTCGGGCCTTCTGCCTCAGGAAGGGCTTTCAGAAAGGCTCTCAGGAGAGCACACATTGGCCACGGAGAAAGCCCTTCTGCAGAGCGAGGCTGTGGCAGCCCAGCCTGATGCCCACCGAGCCCTGGGGCCCAGGGTGGCCGCCTCCCTCTGTACCCCTTCCGGGGGTCACCCAGAGAGGCGGGCAATGGCCTCTCAGAAGCCAGACACTAGTGGCAACAGGCAGAAGGCAGGTGGCCTAGGAGAGGTCGGTGGTTCAGTCACGCTGGTGGGGAGCTTGGCGGAGGGAGGGTAGGGCCAGGTTCGACTCAATCTGTTTAATTGATGAATAAGCAAACTAGCAATGCCAATGGCCCAATATGGCCAGGCCATGCCAGGTCAGGGGCAACTTGGGGACAACAGGCCTCCCAGGTGAGGGAGGGGGCGGGGGCAGGCCCCGGGGATGGGATGGTCATCAGGACAGGGGATCACGCCTGGGGGCCTAGAGTTCGGGGGGACAGGTAGTGAGCTGCAGCAGCAGCACTGAGATGTGTGCCCTCTCAGGGGCTCTAGTTGGCCTGGAAGAGTGGACACTCCTCCTCAGCTGGTCTCCACAAAGTCCAGCAGGAAACAAGCAGCTGTGCCCATTACACCAACAGGAAAATGGAGGCTTCCAGAGATTCTGAGACCAGACCTGCGGTGTCCAACCCAGAGGCCCTGCCCTCTGGCCTGTTCCTCCTGCCCTCCCCCACAAGAAATCCCCCTGTTGGTGCAGTCACCTGCGTTGAGTCCCAGTCACCCCTGCCAGGGGCTCCAGGATGTACCATGTCCACGGCAGAGGAACCCAGGAGAGGCTCAAGCAGGCTGCAGGGCAGGGTTGTCCCATCGGGAGAGGCCCATCCTGACTCAGGGACATCCAGGTGGAGACAATACAGACTCCCCAGGGCTCCCCACACTCTGCCTAGTGCTAGATGCTGCAGTCTCCAGGAGGCAGGAAACACGCAGGAGGGATAAAGTGGCTGACCAGCTCAGCCCAAGCTGTGAGCAGTCACTCTGGGGGCTCCTGATCCAAAGGGGAACGCCAGGAAATGCTGCCAGCTGGGGACTCCAGCTCAGCTCATGGAAGCTGGGCGATGCAGGACAAACGCCTGGGCAGCAGTGCCATGGGTCAGGTGCAGAGAGGGGCACTGGCCACCCTGGCAAGTGGCCTGTGGAGGCTCTGTCCTGCCCACCTTTCAGAAGTCACCTCAGGTCGGGACCTGGCTGACCAGAGCCAGGCCATCAGGAGCCCCTTCAAGCCCCGGTCAGGCAGAGAGGGAGGCGGTGGCAGTGGGGGCACCATGGGGAAGGGGCGTCCACGAGGACACAGGCTCTCCAGGGAATGGGGGCCACGGATCCTGGACTAGGGAACACCAGGTTCACCTCCTAGGGGAGACAGGGGTGAGGCTCACAGCTGGCCCTGTCAGGGAAGCCCTGCCTTGGGGACTCTGGGGGCATCCCCACTGCTCAGCACTGGGCTGGGGACAGGGCCTCCCAAGGCAGTGGTCTCCCCAAGGATGTCCCCAGCAGGTGCTCTGGCAGCTCCCTCTTGGGGTTTTCTCCCACATCACAATAGGGTCTGCCCAGAACATGCATGCATGCACACATCACATGGGCTCTGAAGGGCTCACGCCCCTCTGGCCAGGCGGGTTCCCGGTGACAGCTTCCCAGAATCCGCAACTCACTCCCATCCCAAAATGCCTGTTTCACACAAAATGGCCGAGTCCCGGAGCCCTGCCCGCGTCCCTTGCTCAGCTGGGATGGAGCAGGCGCCCTGCGCGGGCAGGCCATGCACACCAACTGCACACGCATTCGCACACACAGCGACTCTCGCAAATACCACACACGGACACCCATGTGCAAACGCAGGTTGCTGCCGCCCCCAGCCCTGTCCCCGAGGCAGTGGTTCCCTGAACCCCTCCCCCCTACCCGCCACGGGAGAGGGGATGGGCGCCTTCCAGGTCCAGGGCTGGTGCCCGGGACAGTCGCAGCCCCTCCCCGCCGTGTGTCGCCGAGGTGGGCTTCTGAGCCCTTATGTGCAGGGGTCGGATGGCGGCTGCAGATGGGCAGAACTGTGCTGAGCGCAGCGGACTAAGTGCCAACGGGGCAGGACAGTCAGTGTCCTCAACCCAGAGCTGGGGGCGGGCGTAACGTCAGGCCCCCTCCCCCATGTCAGCAATCCAGCAGCTCACCCCAATGTAAAGTGAGACGCTTGAGAGACTGGAGAAAAGCCAGCCCGCCCCATCGCCCCCGCTCAGTGGGGCGCCCACCCAGAGGGTCCCCGGGAGCCCAGACCCAGCGCAGCGCCGCCCTCCCTCCGCTTTCTCCCCTCCCCATCCTCCCTCCCTGGCCAGCCCTTTGTTCGAGCAGCAGGCCGGGGAGGGGCCTCCCGGGCTGAGGAGGGGGCTGGGGCTGAGCGTCCCATCTTGTGGGGGAGGGGCGGTGCAGCCGGCCCGGCGCCCCGTCTCCACCTTCGCGGCCGGGCCCCCAGAACCCCGTTCCGCCCGGCTCTCCGAAATCTCCCGACCTCCCCTCGGCTCCCACCAGCGAAGCCGGACCCCAGGCGCTGAAGCCGGTGCGGTGCGCAGCGCACCGGGCCCGCCGCCGTGCGGGTCCGTGGGACGCTAGGGTCGTGTGAGGCCCAGCCGCACTCACACGTAGGCGTGGTAGATGAAGGCCCAGCCGCGCGGCCGCTCCAGCACGTTGTAAAGGAAGTTCTGCAGCCGGCGGTACACGGCGTTGCGCTTGGGGGGCTTCCCGGCGCCCGCGCCGCCCGCGCGCGGCTTGCTGAGGATGCTGCCGCGCTTGGGGGCCTCGGCGCCCGCGATGAGCAGCGCGCCGTCGCGCGTGGACTCGGCTGCGCCGG